AATATGACATAAACAATTATAAAACAAAACCATAACATATAGAGAAATATTTGACAACTTAGATCCATGTTATTATATTTTGATTTCTATTGCTATTATATGTTTTGCTAATGGTTTTCTCTTATTACTTAGAGGCTAACAATTTTACTCATTTTATTGCTTAATCTTTTAAATTTACTATTCTGTGATTGAAAATGTTTTGTGTGCGCATGGACTTTATGTTAATGATATATTTCTTTTTTTTTAATTACTGTTTCCAATTAATGACTAACTCATGCAAATGATTGCATGCATGTTCAAATATAGTGTCCTTCTGAATACATTGCTTTTACTATGCTTGCACTTAAGTATCTTCTTTCATACAATCTCATTTAATTTGGTAGCCTATTATCTATATTCAACTTTCCATATTTGACAAAGATGTTGCCTTTTTTTCTTTTGTCTTATCCTTTTCAACACATATTCACCAATTCAACATTTTTAACATTTTTTTTTATGATATAATTGACCGATCATGAGTCATTGCTTTTTATTAGAGTTGTCATGGATTGGACATAACCCAATCATAAAAGTTAGAGTAGCAACAATTTAAGATTCAATAAATCCTAAAATAAATCAATTCATGAGTTCAGACTTTGTTACAATTGATACCAAAGAGCAATCAAAACTAAAATAAACAAATTAGTTTATTCAAATCATTCGCCATGTAGTTGTAAGTAACATGATTACCATCATATATATATATATATATTTTAGAGCAATACTATGCATGTTATGATTAGAAATTTTAAAGCTGAAAAGTGTAAGGCAATGCTCAAAGAAAGTGATCTTTATGAAATTTCCAATTTCTTGATCAGCAACATGAAACTATCATTTAACTCAATCCTTGAGCAAAACATCGTCACACTCATTAAAGGCACATAAATCAAAGAAATAAAAAATAATTCAACTGTCTTTCTTCGATATTTTCTTACATTCTAGCCAAATGATACAGAAGCACCAAAGCTGCGGTTTTGAAAGCTAAAAAAGTTAAAAAAATTGGTATCCGTACCATAGTTTCATACTAAGAATAAATAAATTAATTGTAAATGATTAATATTAGACAGTGACACTTTTTTAAATGATAATGGTAGCTTAAGTGTCATTTTCTAGGTAGAGGCATTAATTAATTAATGAATATAGTATGATCTTAATATCTTTACGGTACAATGAACGAAAAGTATGTTTGCTACCAAATGTGATAAAAACAAAAATAAAACAGACCCAACAGCTATTATTCAACTGGGTTTGGGTTTAGCATAGAAATAAAGCCAATTAAGCAGCAAGAAATTTCAATTTTCTCAAAACGACAGCAACAAATTCTACTGAAGATTTTGTTGATTTCCTTAAAGTTTGATAGCCGAATTTTGGGTAAGCAGTTCGATAAGACAAATACTCCACATGCATAAATAGGGCTTCTTTGAAGGGCTGATGGGTTTGGATGTGCTAGTTCAAAGGGTTCATAATCTATTTTTCTAAACTCTAACTAATGCGTTGAGGATGTAACAAATATTAATAGAATGGTTGGGTGGGGAAAGGTAGATGATGTTTTTTCTTATATGAATAAGTTTTCAACTTTTGGGTTTAGTGATTAAAAGGTTTAGAAAAACATGTCATATGGGAGTTTGAACTCCATTATCTTCATCCCTTATTCAGTGTAAAAAAAAAATAATAAACTTTAAATTAAATGAACTTTGTTTTTTTTTGGTAAAATATATTGCGGGGCTAAGGTGTCGTATGGTATTTATGAGAAAAAAGACGGAGATCGTCACACCATCTATACATTGCCATCGTACCATCTATACATTGCTTCATTAAGAGAAGGCAGTCAATTGTTCACCTTATTTTCAGCTTTTTTTTTTTTTTTCATCTTAAGGTAAACTTGGCAACAAAATAAAAGAAAAAAAAAATCTTCCAAAGCATATGAAAAGCTTGTAGATCGAAGAAGCCTAATCATATATAAATTTTTGTGATTTGCCCAATTTGAATAATTATGAATTATAAGAAATATTAGATATAAACCTTAATATGACATTGGCCCAAAAAAAAAAAAGGAATATGACAATAAATGACAGTGCTAACTAGTTGGTTCAAGAAAAGTTCTTTTTTTTTTTATCCATTATATTTTAATATATTTTTTATAATCAATCATACGCGCATGTCTGACATAAAGTCATGTACATACCAATAGTGACTAAGTGTATATTGAAAAATAATGGATAACAATAGAATAAAAATAGCCAAATCCATAGTACATACTCATTTACTACAAGTTCAATACTAATTTTACTTAAAGTTTTTTTTTTTTTTAATTTAGGAAAAGAAATTTTCTAATTCAAATCCTACTTTTTAAACGCGAGATCATACTTCAACTACTTAATCAAATATTTTGTCCATTTCGTTCACGTAAAGTGACCGAATACTTTTTTTTCAATTATCATTATTTTTATCTTATCTTCGCGGTTCTTTTAGCATTGGTTTGTATTTTTTCCCTCATCTAAAATTCTAAATTTTATGTCCCTGATATGCCATATTCACCTGTATGCACTTATGCCCACTTTGCATGTTGAAGTTTTAACTAACTTTAATGGAGTATAGCCCTAACTTGTTTGAATAATCACTAGTTTTCAACTTCATTTCTGTTTTGCGTCACTTTCCCAAATATGTTAAGTTATTAGTTTCTGGATACCTTACCTCATCATCATGCTCGCCGGAAGTTTTTATCAGAAGATTCATTTTTGTGATGCTCTTTCTCTTTATTTCTCAAGTATAATACAACTAAATATTAACAAGAGTAACAAGTGAATTAATATTTTTTTTTTCAAATTTCCCATATTCAATATTGGTATAATTTCTTGTCAATACAAGTAATAGTATTAATCCTAAAGGTTCTTAAGAAAAAATAATGCATTAAATGTCGTTAACCTTTTAATGATGCTTATAAATATCACGTTGCTAAACTTCAAAAGAAAACATCATTAAAAAAAAAAAAAATCAGTTTCTTGTAGTGATGATATATGTACATAAGCAAGACAGTTATACTTTATAAATTGTACTATTTCTTTTTACCCATGATGTTATCTAAACTTTTATTTTACACTGCAAATTCTGTCATAATTGCTTACACTTTCATTTTACATAAAAGATTGACAGTAAATTGGAGAACTACATTCTCACTATCCCGAAGTAAGAGAGAATATATTGATGGAATGCAGAAAAGAATATTAATGCGTTTATGGTTGGAGCAAATACTAAAAAATTAGAATTACTGCTTCTAATAAATTTGAAATTTTGAGAAAATGCTTCAAGACATATAACGGTGTCACTTTCCTTAAAGTTTTGCTTAATAGGTGTGCGAAAAGATTGCAAGCAATAAACTTTGAGGATATAATGAAGTCTAATGATTGATTACGTTTTGCACTAACAAAATCAATTCATCAAGCAATCATCGATATATCACAAGATCCTAAACTTTTATAAAATTTTTTTATAATAAAACTTTTATAAAAGAAATATGAAGTTTGAAGAAAAAGATAAAGTTCTAAAAATTGTTTTTGTATATTTTTAGAAAAGTAAAAGAATCTTTTATAAACAGATAAGTGTCCCTTTCTACAGACATGATTATCTATTTTGAATAGACAAAAACTATCTATTTTTAAATAGTTAAAACTGTTTATTTTGAACCGACTTAACTATTTGTCTTTATTTTTTTTGTAATGTGAGATTATTTCCCATATTTTATTTTAAATATCTCTAACACTTATATCATAAATAATGCTAGCCGTATGATGGTCTACAATTCTCCAATTAAACTCTCAAAGGTTAATCCAATTTTAAGGAGACTTGCGACAATATATAGATTCCACTTTCAGAGAACGGGAAAGACATTATAATTTATAAATCCTTGTTGAAGGCTTGTGTAAATCAAACTCTTTTTCAATTACTATGATTTTTCCCATTCCTATTGTAATGAACAAACTTTGTTGAATTGTCTTCATCAGATATATACAGAGGAGAGATCTTGTTACACCAATGTATGTGTTAAATCATTTTTTTATATTTGGATCAAAATAGTTTAGTGCATGTATTATGAATTTAATTTTGATCTAAGAGTTAAAAAATAATGTAGCATTATACTGGTGAAAGTGGATTTCTACTCTTATATATATATGTATGTATGCAAAATCTCAGAAGAATTAACTGTTTAATTATGAAGTTTTCCTGATAGCAGTGTCATGAAATTGTAGGATTCTAAGGTGTAATTCTTGAAGTTCACTGTGGGTGACAAGTGCGAGTTTAGAAATAAAAAAGGTGCAAGTTGCATTGTAGATATAGAGCTGCACAAGAAGGATTATGCTCATAAACATACCATTTAAACAAAGCAACCTTACAACAAAACCAGTTTTGACAGCAATTATTTCGCCAACTTCCTCTTACATAAAATTAATTGTGTTCCCATTTTCATCACTGTAATAAACTGCATTGAACAAACTATTTCCAAACATGCTAAAATATAAATAATACAAGCTGGTTTTAGAAGGATGAGAACCTCAGATAGCAGTAATAAGCTTGCCATATGCCTAAAATTGGACATACATGAGAGAGAGAGAGAGAGAGAAGAAAAACGGGTGGATGGAAGTCTTGGAAGAATATTAATTAATTGAAAAAACTAATAGGCAATGAGTCAATGGCCTTACTCACTCAGAGTCATCAGTTGTTAATTGTTTATGTATATATAAATAGCACAGCAATGGCCTCACTCACTCATAGTCATCAGTTGTTAATTGTTTGTGTGTATATAAATAGCACAGCCTATCTTGCATATAGAAAAAAAGCGACTTCTCATCTGTAACCCTAAAAAACAAGCCTATTTTTTTCCTCTAAATTTTTCTTCTTAAACCTGTTATGATATCTTATTTCTTGTGTCATTGATCGGTTGTGACTATTTGCAATTTTGTGTGATGGGAAATTTTAGACGCAATAGATGTGATAGTGAGAAAAGTTGTCATAGAGGTCATTGGAGACCCGCTGAAGATGAACAACTCCTGCAGCTTGTTGCACAATTTGGTCCCAAGAATTGGAATATTATTGCGCAACATCTTGAGGGAAGATCAGGTGGGCATGTCAATTTAGATCAATCTCTGAATTGCTCTCGTTTTACTTTTAAGAAACAGTTTTATTCAATATATATATCTTGGTGTGTTTGTAGGGAAAGGCTGCAGACTGAGATGGTACAACCAACTTGATCCTAATATCAACAAAAAGCCATTTACAGAAGAGGACGAAGAGATGCTCCTTACTAATCATCGGATTCAAGGAAACAAATGGGCTTCTATAGCTAGGCTTTTCCCTGGAAGAACCGATAACGCTGTCAAGAACCACTACCATGTTATCATGGCAAGAAGAAAAAGAGAAAAATTGTTATCCTATTGCAACAGAACTGACCAGAAGGGAAATCCTGATCACTCAAACATAAACATTAGTGGCAAATTTGAAAGGTTTTTGATCAGGCCTCAACCAAAGTGCGAAGACTCTAAGTTAGGCCGGGTTTGCAGGTTTCAAGTCACTGACAGACAGGGTTTCACGTTACTATCTTCTTCAAGCTCATCACAACCTTCTTCGTTGAGTGGATGTGGATCAACAATCTCAAACGATTCGTCAGGTTATGCCAGGGCAAGCAATCAGAATCAATTTGCAAACAAAGAGTGCGATAGTTGCATTGGATCTCCAAAGGCTGTTCATCTTCAGCATTCATTCAGATTCTCAAATTTTGCTAATGGTTTTGGAAGTGAAGGTGAAAACTCCAGGGGAGGCTTAGTGGAGTTCAATGATAACCCATCTGCACTATGGAATCTACATATAGTTTCTGGGGAAAATCAAGGAGTAGGATCAATGAAGCACAAGGATGTTTCCTTGATAGACTTTCTTGGTGTCGGAATCTCTTAATCTCTGAAGCTATTTGGCTAATCTTTTTCTGCTGAGTAGAACATAATGTTGGGTGTATCTTCACATTTTCCTCTATTTATACTTTAATTTCCATAAATATATAATCTTATTATCTTGGTAGGAGCTAATTAATTACAAATTATAATTATAATTAATATTTGCTTTCTATGGTTCACAGATATACTGTCCTTTGTCAACACTCACCTAATTTCTTAGTAGAATACTGCATCTTTAGTTTCAGTCATTAGGATTCATATCCGAACGATCTTAATTTTAAAAAAAAAAAAAATACTATCCTTTGGGCTTTCTCTCATGCCGTAAGCAAGTCTGGGTTTCCTTATGCACACATAAATTTAAAATTTGAGAGCAGATAGATCATCAGCCTTTGATTCGTTTAATTATTTTAATTTACGAATTTTTTGTTGTTGCAATCTGCTCTAATGCGACAATAACTTAATGAATTTGTGAGAAAGGTTGAATATCAATTTTCAAGCAAAAAGAAACCTAAAATCTTTGCTCAAATATTCTTATTCCACCCTTACTAATTTAGCTACATTAAAGTGATAACACAATTGAATTTGATAATAAATATATTATTATGTAAATTTATAACATATTTGACATTTTTAAAGCTAACAAAATTAAATAAAATTAATAATTTTTTGTTTATATCAAAATACAAATAATTTTAAAAATTAATTATTTACTTTATTACTTATATATTTATTTATATATATTTTTACTCAAATTTAAATGTTTACTAAATATATAGATAATGTATTTTGTAGTTATTTATTCGATTATTCATTTAAATATTTGTCCTATTTATTTATTTATAGATGTGTGTATTAATTTATTACATTGAAAAACGAAAAATATGAAATAATAAAAATTTTATAAAAAGGAAAAATATTATAAAATTTAAAATAAAAAAATACTGTAAAAAATATTAAGAAAATAGAGTAAAATGCATAAAGAAAAATAACTTCGTCAAAAGTGGTTAATAATTGCAATTAGTTAGGTTAATATGAATGGCATTTTTGTCTTCATACTATAGTTAGCTAGGAATGCTAAGGGCAGTCGCCCCTAAGCAATCATTTTTAAATTTTAACATATGCTTATTCAAAAGGTCACATCATTTACAATTCAAGTAGTGGAATAGGAAACCCCTTGTAACTCTCAAAAGCCTTTTTATTTTTCTTTACACAATTTATTTCTCTTAACTCTGCAGAACACAAAACTTGCGTTGCAATTACCCACGTCCACCAAAACTCGCTTCTTTTTTTTTTTTTTTGCAGAATTGCCCGCTTCCTCCGTAATTTCTCACTTGCTACCTCTATTAGTGAAGAAAATTTCAAGCTTTTGCAAAAAAGCTGTTTGAGTCTCACTTTCTTTTAGAAGTCTCTTTTTATTTGGACAAATCCTTCTTGAATTAGTTATATAACCCATAATCTTCTTTCTTTAAAATAAAAAGAAATTGTTAACTCTCTATTTGGCTATCAATGATTTTACGTGGTTTATAAAGAACAAAGTTTGGTGTTTTTTTGTTTTTCTATAAATGAATTTTCTTTTAAATATGAATCTTTATTTTTTGTAGCCATCTGCTGTACAACCAAAACAAGATGGCAGGATTGCTGCTATCTTCAGTAAATACATTGGAAGCATTAGGCCTTGAATGCTTTTTTATCTTAAATTTTTTGAAGTTTATGTTGATGTATATGTTTTAAACCCACCAACATTTCTTCTGTAAGTATTTCTTCTATTGTATTAGGTAGTAGAGGAGAAGACATTTATAAGTTCTGAAGGCATAAAATAAGCACTATTCAGAAATGCAGGCTATGGAGGAAAATGTCTGTAGAATAATGAGGTGTATAAGATGGTCATCTTACAAAGCCTAAAGAGATGGAATTTCTCTAAATTTGTTCTTCAAAAAGCTGTAATAACATTTTCCTATTAATAAGCATGTTCATTCATCAAATCCATCCGAGAACCTACCATGATTTATCTACCTCCTATTGGACAGTCAAAGCATCTAACATTATTAGAAATGTGCCCGCGTATTAGATTTAGCAATTAGTGTATTTATATCGTTTAAAATAGTAAAAATTGATATATTTATATTGTATTTTATACAAAAATTATATGTCACAATTTGTATCTATATGAAAAGCATGAAATTTATATTCTTTTTTGTTAAACTCATATATAGTTTGTGTTAAAAATTTAACCCATATTACTTCCTTATCTTTTTTTGTATTACTTTCGTATTGTATCACATTGTCGTATTTTAAATTATTCGATCTAGTTGCAGGTCAGAATTTTTTTGTTTTGTTATACCTCTTCACTGTATTTTTTTGGAAAATGTATCAAATTAAAAAATGAAAGAAAAGAAAAACAAATAGAAATGAAACATGGATATTTTAATTGGCCTAATTTTCTCATAAAATTAATTTTAAAAAATAAAATCAAAAAAATGGGAAAAGAGTAAATGAAAAAAATGATAAAAAAAACTAAAAATAAGTAAAAAAAAGAGCTAATAGAAAGTGTCATATTAACGTATCATATTGAGTTTAAAATATAAATTTCTTAAATTAAGATAAAAAATTACTTTATTAATATAATACATACATATGTATAAATCTAAATAATTAATAAAATATATGCTTTTATGTACACATCAAAATGTGTCAAGATAGCACCATAAACACGCTTATGACTTGATCTCATTTTTAAAAAAAAAAAACTCATCCCATCTCAACTCAATCCTAATTTTTTAAAAAAAAATTCATCTTTTACTAGATTAGGATAAATCAAAATCTATTGGATATGGATTGTTTTTTCATTTCTATCCACTACAAGAAATAATATTTTTAATGGAGAAAAAATTGTCACTAAAAGTATAAAATTTAGTCACTAAAATTTATAGTAACTAATTTTAAAGTCATCACAAATAACTTTGTCACTATTATATTAGTGACGATACTTACTAAGTTGCCACAACAGCTTTTTTTTTTTTTGTGATACAAATTTTGACACTAAAAGTATTAGAATATGTGACTAAAAATAAGTTGTCACAATAGCTTATTTTATTGTGACAATTTTTTCACCTCTAACAAATTAAAATAATGACGAAAAAAGTTGTCATAATAACATGATTTTCTTGTGACGATAATATCAACTCTGAAAGTATAGCAATAATTACAAAATTATAGTTACTCATGTTATTTTTATTAGTGACAAAATCTTCTTCATTGGTATTCATTGAAATAGTGTCAAATAAATTATTTCACAAATATTAAAATTATTTCTTGCAATAATTATTGTAACTAATAAATTAATTATTGTTACAAAAAAATCTGTCAATTTATAAAAAAATACTATCATTAGTGACTATAAACAAAATTGTCACAAAAAAATTACATTTGTAGTTACAAAATAATAGTTACCAAAAGGTTATTTCAAAATAAAATATGATTATAGGGACATAAAATGCAGTCACCTTATCTATTTTAAAAATAAAAGAAAATGATAACAATAATGACAAATAAAATACCAATATATATATATATATATACACATCATGTTTTAAATTTCTTAAATCCAAGCTCAAAAGTAATATAAAAAATACAATTATCAATAAAACCATATTAGTATTTTTCTACCAAAAAATGAAATAATTATTGAAAAAATTTTAGACCACAAATATGATAATGTCCAAGTGAAAATTCAAGCTATAAGTTCATAGTTGATCCTAGTAAAGTTTACTCTTCATTATTTTCCTACAAAACAAACAAAAATAAGAAAAAAATCAACAAATAGTAAAAAAATATTTTATATAATTATTATTATAATATTAATAAGTGACATTAATTATTTAATTATTATACTTACATCATTACCTAAGGAATTTGATGTAGATGCATTGGATAACAAACTAAAAATTAATCCTTCACCTGCTAAATACATCTTTCACTTGTTTCAATTCCATAGTTTGTTTCTCAATAGTCTTACCTTAAGCAATAAGTTTTTCATGTTGAGCTTCAATTTTTTTTTTTTTTTGAAGTTGGATGTTGGTCTTCTCTTGTTTTTTTGTGATTTTAGTAAGCCTTTCAACTTTTTTCTCTACACATTTTTTTGTAACTTTTGTTTCTACAATAATGCAATTTTTTTTCTTAAGAAGTAGATATGCTCCCTTTAACATTTACACCACGTGAGTAATTTCACTTTGTTCCCAAAGCAAGAGCAAAATGCTCCACCTGAGTATTATGTTGTGCATTACTTGAATTCACCAAAAACTTGCGTCATAAAATATTAACTATTTTGTTTCTGAAAGCTAATTAATATTTCAATTAGGATGCATAATTGTAATTCATCAAATTCAAAAGTTGTACAATATCCCTCAATAATTCTAAATTTAATTTATTTGAGATAAATAAACAAGGGTATGAAAAACAAAGTTAAATCTACTTAATCAATTTAATAAAATTTTCAATACCCAGTGAAAGAAGGCTTGCAATAATTTATTTCTATGTTTTCTAATTTAAATATCTAACACTGTCACAATGTTTGATTTGTTGCTAGGTCACTTACATGTGAGCACACTAACATAGAGTAGCAAAGATTTCCTTTTAAGTCTTAACATTTTTAAAGATCAATTTGGGCTCCCTTCACAAGTTGACGACATATAAAGTGGTCACTACAATTAGACATTATTGTGAAGAAAAAATAGTTTGTCACATAATACTTTACTTTTTGTTTCGATAATTTTTGTCATAATTAAACATAATATATTACTATTGACTATATATCATTACTATTACAAATTTATTACTATCGACTATATATCATCATTATTACAAATTTATCACTGTGACAATTGAAATCGTCATTATTGAAAATATTATGATGACTAGAAATTGATTTGTCACAATTTATATTGACAAATTTAAGAAATTAATTTTTTATCGCAATAATAATTTATGTATCATTAAATTATATTA